ATACGAATTTTCTAATAAAATCTGATAAATGTGGACTTTAAAGATAACTTGACAATGTTATCATTGGACATTAAATTAAGCCGTGATACGAGATTTGTACCTGTTCGTTTCGAACCTGGCCTTTGCTTACTGTGCCCTTTTTTTACGAATTGCTATTTTTCGTGGTTCAAATTGTTTTTATCCCCAGTATGTGGGCTATAGTAGCTTATTTAATTCTCAAACGGCCCCTACAATGATTTTTCTTTATACACTGCTTGTCCTTGACTTCTACGCCGGACTGAGAATAAACAGCGACAAAACCAGGGTCCAAACGCTTATATTTACCACGCCGATGTTTATCAACAAGACATATGGGGGTTCAAATAGGTTCATGGCTCATTTGAACTCTCAGGGATAGTCTTTGAAGTCAAGAACTTCTAAAAATGTGTCACCTTCACTCGCCAGGACGTGCACTTATCATCACGTAGCAGTACCGGTATGTGCTGGTTACCAGTACACTATAACCACGGAAGTATAAACTTCCATGCACAGTCCCCATATCAAAAACACCCCACAGTTAGGGTCTGCTGGTCATATAACGGCAGATAACTGAAGCAATTTCACAGGAACGGATGTGGTGTTCATATATATATATTTACCAGTTTAGTAACAGGAGCGGATTAAGGATTATTTGAAGTGGGAGAGGGGGGGTCCACGGATGCGAAGCAAACGCCCCCCCCCCTCCCCCCCATTGGCATGGGAACCGGGGGGGCGGGTGAAGTGCACCGAAAAAATTTGTGATTTTAGAGGGCGAACGGTGCCATTTAGTACGGTTTAGAACTATGATTCACCTAGTCAAAATTCTAATTTCAAGAGGGGGGACATTGGTGCTTTTTTCTTTTTCAGAAATAGAAAGGGGGGTCAGGACTCCCCTGACACCCCCTAAATCCGCCACTGAGTAACAATGAAAATATATGGAGATAGGGTGGGTCCGTGGACGCGAAAACACATAGTTAGGCTTGCTTTTCATCTTGGTTCCTGCATATACCTAAACAGAAAAAACACTACGCTTCCTCATCTCGATTATTCTAAGCCCGCACCTTTTTTCTAAGCCCTCTTCTCCCAGTTCCAGTGTTTATGTAAATATACCATAGGTGATGTTCTTAAAGACCTTATTACACATATTTACAACTGAGATCAGGATTATTTTCAATCAATATCCCATGAATATATTTCTTATATATTTTGTTTACAACAACATAAGTAAACAGTAAAACAGGTTATGACCGTGCCGTCAAGTACCAAGGCATTGACTAACAGAATGGAAGTGAGCCTTAGTTCATCATCCTAGGCACTGAGTATTTTATCCGGTTGTCCCGTATGTCAGTCAGTTTTCTCCAATTTGACACTTTTTTTTGCTAGGGGAGTATATATATATATATAATAAGTGCTCAGCCCATTGTCATATATATATACTCCCCTAGCAAAAAAAGTGTCACCCCTAACATAATGCGTAAAGTGATACACAATTAACCAATGTTCCTCATTCAACTTTTAAAAGGAATTTTTCACAAAAATTTACGGATTGTACATTCTATGAATAAACTGACGATTGTCAAAAATCAAAGCCACATCTCAGTATTTTGTACAGCATCTTCTGGATTAGAGGGCACCACTGTCGAGTCTGTGAGGGGAGTCAAAAAGTCCTGTAACGTTTGCGCATTGATTGCGTTCCACATACGGTGCAGAGTTTCATGGCAAGAAATGTGCAGCATTCACGCAATACGCGAGGGCGCAACAGTAGGGCTTCACGTGACTCAACTAACCAATCACAGCACGAGAATGGCATCGCACACAGACTCTGTGATAAGTGCTCAGCCCATTGTCAAGTAGTGTTAGTTCATGGTAACAAGCGTCTGATATGTGCAGAGAGGTTCATTATTATAATATATATTGTTCTCATTGTTACATTATCAAATCTAACTATGTATCCAAGTAGTACCAAGTCAGGTACTGATGATGTGCAGAGGTCATATATTCCAAAATAAGCCATTACCACTGATTTATAACTTTTATTTTTGTTTAATATGTTATTTGTGAACGAGTTCATGAAAGATTATTTTAATTTGTTAAATCGTGATCTTATTCTTTTTATATTCAAATAATTGAATAATGTGGGTAAAATTGGTCTTCCACTTCTTATTTGCATTTTTCCTTTACTACAAGATTATTTTGGAACAGTTGCAGCATTAAAAATTTAAATAAATAGCAATCTGAAAGAAAAAATTTGCATAATTATTAAATGATGATAGGAATTTTGGATTAAGAGATTAGTTAAATACTGAATCGTGATATGGTCAGTCAATTTGTGTAGAATCTGATAATATGATTGAAAATACTGATTGAATTCTTGGCCTTGCACTGGGCAGTTTTACATTTGTGCCAAGTGCTCTATTTGGACATTGTACAGTGGTAAAAAATGTTCAATTGCCATGAAAGTTTTTCATCAGACTCTGTATGGTGCTGCTATCTGCTGGTGCTATCGGCAACGAATTAATTTGCCTTTGTTTCTGAGTGAATTTACCGTCTAAAATCACTATTACTGAAAATATTTGCGTTTTGCTGAGGGTATAGGCTAGGCAATATACGGCAAACTTCTTAGTACGTGTGTACAACAGAATTTAAAAAAAAAACCCTAGCGATATTTGGTCAGGAGTTGCTTGAAGCATAGCACAGCGTTTCTGTCTATCGGCATCAGGCCGTTAGTTTGTCAATTCTCACGAATTACCCACGAATCGCGAACCCATTCATTTTCCTATGGCAATCTAGCAACTCATTAAAAATGCACGCATGCGCAGTGGGCTAGGCGTGACGTTATGCAGTGCATTTCTGGGGATGGATATCATTTTTACAGAGTTATCCCTCCGTTATCCATTCCCGAGGTTATTCCACACATTCTTAATGAGGTTCTGTTCTAGGGATTTTTTTAGCTGGCCATTGGTGGGGCGTGTTTGTCTGGGCCTGGTTCGCATATATATCGGGTTAAGGTGACACTCTTTTTGCTAGGGTAGTATATATATTTTATTTGAAGCTGAACCTGATTCAGATGCAGAATGCGGAAGTACTTTTCTAGATGGGCTACTAGTATTTCAACATGCAGAAGTGCAGGAAATCAAGATAAACGAAAAAATGCAAAATTGTGTCTTTACGTATGGATGCATTTTTGACACAAATTTGCAAGGGTGGTAAGCCAGCAACAGGGCTTTTTTTGTTATGACTTCATAATCGAAATCATCCCCTCTCATTTTGTGACTTTGGATCAACGCTGTTTCTACATTTATTTTAACTAAATTTGATTACGATCTGTATTCGTTCAAATAAGGATAAGGAATTTTCTGTATTGGTTTTATCACATATATAGTTTTAATTTTCTGAATGGCTAAAAATCTTGTTAATGCTAGGGATTTATCGCCCGTATATACAGAAAATGCAATGATTGTATTAGGTGTGAAGTTTGGTTGCGACGATTGCCCAAAACTGAATTTTCATATGTGCTTGCTTTAATATTCCAGCCACTTTATTCATATTGTTCCTCTTTCTCGTCGATCTCAGGGTCAAATGCTTAAAAGTGGAGTCAGCACGTTTTTATCATTTACCAGATTCTCCTTCATATATAATTTGCTACATGTACAGTATAATGTTCATTATAAATGACATGTAAATTATCATACAGTACCGTATGAACGACACGCTCAACCGTTCTTCTTCTCCTGTTTTATTGAAAAAATATATGATATATCAGGGGCAGATCCAGGATTATTTGAAGGGGGGTCCGGTTTTTTCAGGAATGACAAGCCTCGGATGCGAAGCCGACCCTCGCCCCCTCCTCCACCCCACTTGACGTCGGGTTCAGGACCCGCTGAAGGGCACCGAAAAATTTTGGTATTTTAGAGGGCGAACGGTGCCATTTGCTAGAACTATGATTAAGCTAGTCAAAATTCTAACATCAAGAGAGGAGTATTTGTGTGGTTTATTTTTCAGAAACCGAATGGGGGGGGGGGGGGGGGGGGAGGAC